TACACTGGCTTCCCGGGCTTGAACGGCCTGGTCAGCCCATGGGCTTCAGCGCGCATGACTACCAGTCCCTGGCCCGGGCCGCTTTCTTCCTTCCTAATTACACTTTCAGTACTGCTTTGCCCCAGAGTTCTCCGGGGCTCCCTGCTGTGTCGTCGCACCATTCTGCCCGGTCTCCTTACTTTCTAATCAAAGGTGACACTGACAACTATCCATGAGGCAGCAGCGCTCAGCCATGTGGGGCCTTCTGCTAGGAGGACCAGGAAGGCTGGCAGGCCAGCAGCTGGGGAGTGTGTCAGCAGGCTCTGGGTACTGCTCAACTTGCAACTTTGTATACAGTTTAGAATTTTGCAAACCAGAAAGCTGGAAAGTTTTTGAATGGCTTCAAAGCCAGCAGCCACTTCCCACCTGCAGGGTGGGCCCCCCATCCTTCCAGGCGCGGCGCGGCTCCGTGGCACTCACCAGCCGAGTTGATGATGTGTCTCAGGGTGAGCAGGGTGCCCACGCGGAGCCGCTCACTGCCGATGTCCAGCTTGGGGAGCAGGAAGGCCAGCAGGCGATCAGGGGAGCAGCCAGCTGCAGGGCAGCGCACAGGCCGGGCACAGCTGGTGACCGAGTGCACCCGGCAGGGGCTCTGACCTCGTCAGCACCACACCTGGCAGGCCAGGGGTCGGAGCGCAACTCCCATGGGGTACTGTCATGGCCTTGGCCCAGCAGGCTGACACCCCACGAGCACGAGCAGCCTGAGAGCCCAGCCAGGACCAGGCGTGCACCTCGGCTTCTCGGCCTGACACGGGCCCAGAGGCCCTGCCCTCCTGCCCTGGGCCCCCCCGAAGCTAGGCTGACTGGTGCTGCTGAGCACTGGGCTGCAGCCAAGGGGGTAGCAGACCCCAGCTCCATGCCCAAGGCTCTTGCCCAATGCCCAATCCTCCATGAGGGCCTAGCAGGTCCAGGCCTCGGTGTCATGAAGAGCCTGGCGCCTGCCCTGCCTGGACACCAGACCTGCTAGCCCTCCCCAACATCCCTCCCCCAGCCCAGCTGAGGCCAGCCTCCACACTGCCCTTCCTTCCACCTCCTCCTGGGAACCAGGGACCTCCAGCTGACACTGACACTGCTGGCCAAACAATGACAGCCCTGAGCTTGGGCAAGGTCCCTCCTGGTGCCACCCACTGGCCCTTCAGAGCCAATGAGCAGGTGGGCATGCAGGTAGGGCCTGTCTGGGGACTATGCGCAGGACAGGCCTCCTCTGTCTGAGGCCATGCACTCCGGACAGACTGTAGACTTTGGTGGCCATGGACAAGTGTGGCCGGCCAGGGCCAGGAGCTGCAGGTGGCCAGGGCCAGAGCAAGCAGGAGGGGTGGGAACAGCAGGTGGGGTGGGCGAGGGCCAGGCAGGGTGTGGGGCATGGGGCATGGAGTGAAACCCTGGGCTCCATGCCAGTGGGCAGCACTTGCCCAGGCTGCATCCCTGGCCAGGCCCTGCTGCAAGGCCCCTGGAACACAGTCAGGACCCCCCGAGAGGCACGGACAGGGCCCACCAGGCTCTCCCTGCCCATGTAGCCCCCTTACCCAGCACGGTGAAGCAGCGCAGCACCTCCTTCTGGTTGCTCAGCACCAGGGGGCTTGAGGATTCCACAGGCATGCACATCTGCTCCAGGGCACAGAGGGCAGAGGGTGCAGCCAGCTGACCCGGGCCCGAGCCTGGGGCCAGGTGCTATCACTCCTAGACTCCATCGGGGACGCTCCAGGCCCCAGCCCAGCCCCTGGCAGCGGGCGGGATGGGAGGGGCGGGGAGGAGGCCGGCCCTCAGGCTGGTGAGTCCAGGCTCCTTGCATTTCCTGCGTCCTGTCAGCAAGCCAGGACAGCTTTACTGCAGGCGACGGCGCCCCTGCAGACACCCATCTGGAGTGTCCAGAGCATGCAGAGCAAACACCTAGAATTTGCCTTTCCAAATGGCAAAATAAACAACAAAACTGCCCCCACGGGCAGATGTCAAAGACTCAGGTGGGCAGTGGCTGCACCTCTGGGCTCCATGGCACTCAGTGGGCAGTGCCAGAGCACGTGGCCCTGCCCAAGCGTTAACACCAGGCCCCGCCTCTTCACCTCCACAGAAAGGGCACCAGCAGGGCCCGCCTTCTGAGCCAGCAGAGGTGGCCCATTGCTGGGGGCAGGCCCAGGGACCCAGGCACATCCACCTGGACACTGGCCACCCTCAGAGCTGCTGGGGCGGTGAGATGGAGATGCCAGCACCAGGACTCTGCTCTGCATTCCCAGGCAGGTGCGTGTCATTCTGACTGTGAACACCATTCTGGCCTGATGGTGCCAGCTCCCTGTCATGCCCGCAGGTCACCTGCTTGTGGGGGGCAGTCAGTGTGCTGTGAGGACACTCAGAGTCCCACGGGGAGATCCTTGTCCAAGGGCTGAGGCTGCCAGCCAAGAGCCATGTGAGAGAGCCCTCCCAGATCCGGTCCTGGTCCCAGGAAAGCCCTCGGGTAACAGCCTGGCTAACTGCAACCTCCTGAGACCCTGGGTCAGAACCACCTGGCCAAACTGCTTCTGGGTCCTGACCCACAGACACTGCAAGGCCATAGACAGTTGCTGTTTCCAGGAGATGAGTTTGTGGTAACTGCTTATACAGCAGGGGACAACTAGTGCAGGTGAGAAATCATCAAGAAAAAAAGATAAAAGCTGGATTCTGACTCACTCTTCGACAATAAATCCCCACTAGATTGAACAATGGAAGCACAGAGGAACACTAGCCGTGCAGCTCAGCAGTTAAGGAAGCTGGACACCACATGGCCAGCTGCAGCAACGAGCCACGGCCCCAGAGGCCCAAACAACACACCAGGCGGGACCAGCAGTGAGCGTAGTGGCTACGCTGCTGGACTGCCATGTAGTTGACCGTGGTTTGAGTCCTGGACCCGGTGGCCTAAATTTACGCCAGGTGCATGTGTGCCCCAGATCCTGAGAGGAGAGTAGAGAAGGGATTGCAGCGTGGCCATCCCCCCCCGGGGGGGTGATTTCTCGCTGTCTGTCTCTGTCTTTCCTCTTGCTGGAGAGCACATGCGCTCTATAGCAAAAACCTCTCCAAAAAAAGAAAACACGCCAGGCTCATGTGTGTGCTCAAAATCCTCATAGAAGAGAGGAATGAAGGGAAAACATGTCATGAGACCCCCTCTCTCGCAAGTACACATGCCCTCTGGCAATTAGAGAAAAAGTACAGTGGGGCCAGCAGGTAGAGTAGTGGTTAAGGTGTTTAATTCCCACATGGTTGACTGTGGTTCGAGCCCCGGACCTGACTTCCTTTCTTTCTTTCTTTTTTTTTTTTTCACACATAACCTTATTTCTTATTTTAATTTGACCAGAGAGGGACAGAAAGGAAGTGAGAAAGTCAGGTCCAGGACTTGAACCATGATCAGCCATGTGGTATTCCAGAATCCTTAACCACTATGCCATCTGCCAGCCCCTGGCGGTTTTTCTTTCTCACTTTCCTTCTCTTTTTCTGTTTCTCTCTGGTCAAATTAAAAAAATACTACTAATAATAAATAAGTTAAATTAAAATAAATATTTTTTAAAAAGTTCAGTGAAAATTTGGAGAATTCCAAAAGTAATTACCGAATTTGAAAGGCTTTTTTGTTTTAGAGAGATTTTCACTATAGGGCACATGCACTCACTGAAGAGACAGAGAGACAGAAAGCAAGAAATCACCCTTTGCGGGGATGGCCACACTGCAATCCCTTCTCCCCGATTCTCCTATTGGGATTTTGGGCACACATGCACATGCGCCTGGCGTGTTTTAGGCTGCCAGGTTCGGGACTCAAACCGCGGTCGGCTATGTGGGAGTCCAATGACGTAATCACTATGCATCGGCTGGTCCCCAAAGGCTTTCTTCTTGCGTACAATGAAACATGAACTATACATAAGAAAGGTGTGGGAATAAACTTGGTCATGCTGAAGGCCCTTCCCAAGCCTCGCTGTGACAAGTTCAAGATACATAAATAAATATCAAGAGGCGGCCTGAGAGCCCAGAGGTGAGGAGGGCTGGATTCTGCATGGCTACCTGCAGCTTGGCCCCAGCAGGGGTGACCGAGGACGGTGCTGGGCAGCTGCGCACGTGAGCCCCAGATCTGAGAAGGGGAAGGGTGGAGAAGGGGCGGCAGCATGGGCGTGCCCCTCACCCAGCTCCCTCTGCGGCATGTGCCCTGTGGCCATCTTAACTGGTTGTTATTTTAGTTCCGCTGCAGAGTATGTGCACTTGCCAGGGAGAGAGAGCAAGTGAGAAACCGCAGTCTCCCAGGGGACGGCCACGCCACCATCCCTCCTCTTGGGCTCTCGGGCATGCACGCACATGCACATAGCATGTTTTTCAAGCTGCCAGGTCCAGGACTCAAATGTGCAGTTGGCCACACAGGATTTTAGCCATCTTAACCACCACACAACTGACTGGCCCTTAAACTTTTTTTAAAAGAATTATAAAATTATTTAATTTTATTTTTAATTTGACCAGAGAGAGAAAGTGAGAAAGCAACCACCAGGTCCGGGACTCAAACCATGGTTGGCCATGTGGGAGTTTCTAGTGCCTTAACCACCACGCCACACATTCGTGTTCTTTTTTTTTTTTTTTTTTGGAGAGGTTTTTGCTATAGGGCACATGTGCTTGCCAGAAAGTCAGAGAGAGAGACAGAGAGACAGAAAGTGAGAAATTATCCCCCAGGGGTGGTGGCCACATCGCAATCCCTTCTCTTCCATTCTCCTCTTGGGATCTTGGGCACGCATGCACACGCGCCCAGCATGAGTTTAAGCCACTGGGTCCGGGACTTGAACTGCAGTTGACTAGGTGGCTGTCCAGTGACACAGCCATTATGCCAACTACTGGTCCCTAAACATTTTTTTGAGGGCCAGCAGGTGGTGTGGTGGTCACGGAGCTGGACTCCTACATGGCCAACCGGGGCTTGAGCCCGGAACTGGGGGCTGGGAATAACGTCAGGCATGTGTGCATGCCCCCAAGGTGAGGAGTGGGGGGCTCTGATGTGGCCGGCCTCCTGGGAGGTGACTCCTTGCTTTCCCTCTCTCTTTCTACAGCAAAAACCTAAACAAACAAACAGAAATGTCTGCGGTATCAACAGGAGTCTTCCCACGCTGAGCTCGGAGGATCGTCTCTAGTGATGGACACGTGGGCAACCCCTGGCGTCCCTGGGCCACACCCTCCCTCACAAGGTCCCCCACAGCAGGGTGGGCCTGGCTAACTGCTACTACGCGGGCCCTCGGCCTCCACACACAGCTGTGCCTCTGCCCCCACCCAGGGACCCAGGCTGGCCTCACAGCAGGGAGCTCACAGCACAGGGGCTTTCTGATTTCCGAACCAACCTGTGCAGGACACTGGGGAGCTGCCTTGCCACAGTCTGGTAGGATTCAATCTCAGGACCATCTGGTTCTTGGTTTGTTAAAGGAAAGAAGGTCTTGGAATATTATTTCCATTTCTTTGTTTATTAAAGTTCTCTATTTCTTCTACCAATTTCCATGCATTTTTCTCTTTTTAGAAATCTATACACTTGGGGGCCAGCAGGTGGTATGGTGGTTGAGGGTGCTGGACTCTCACATGGTTGACCACGGTTCGAGTCCTGGACCTGGCAGCTTGCTTTCTCACTTTCTCTCTCTCTCTTACTCTGTCCCTCTCTGGTTGAATTAAATAAATAAATGGTTAAATAATATTGAGTAAAATAATTCTTTAAAAAAAAAAAAAGAAAAATCTATACACTTCATATAGTTTTTTTGGGTTGGTTTTTTGTTTTGTTTTGTTTTTGTTTTTTGCTATAGGGTGCATGCGCTCACCAGAAAGAGAGATAGAACACGAGAAATCACCCCCAAGGGTGATGGCCATGCCGCAATCGCTTCTCCTCCATTCTCCTCTTGGGATCTTGGGCATGCATACACACACGCCCAGCTTGAGTTCAAGCCACCAGGTCCGGGACTTGAACCACGGTCGACTACATGGGAGCCCAGCGACATAGCCATTATGCTAACTGCTGGTCCCTACACTCCATATAGTTTTAAAAAACCTTGTCACCATGTAATTGTTCAGGATATTTATACTCTTTAAATCTCTGTCGGGCCCGCCTCCTTCCTCTTTCTGAAGGCTAGGACTGTCAGGCTGGCCAGGGGACAGGGGCAGGGATGAAGAAATCGCACCTCCCCCTTCACTCCCCTTCCAGAACATCTCCATGGAAAGGCACCTACTAGCCTCTCCCTGGAAGGCCCGAGGCTCATGTTCCCAGCCAAGGTTACGGGGACTTGTGTGCTGTGCCCTTGGGCGGCCTCAGGACTCCCGTGTCTGGCCAGGGTGGGTGCCCAGTGGCAGGGCCTCCTCCTCAGAGCCCTTCCCCCAGCAGCTTGCCTCTCTCAGCCCCTCGCTGCCCGCTCCCAGGAACCCTGGGCCTGGCCTTCCCTGACTGCCCCCACCCAGCTGAGCTCCCATCACCTGGGCCATGCTCTGCCCTGCCTCCCACCCGTCCCCGCATCCCTGTGCCGGCGAGCAGCACAGTGCAGACACATGGCGTGTGCCTTGCCCCCGCCCCCATACCTGGGCATGCAGAGCAGCCAGCAGGGTGTCAAGCTGGACTTCCAGGGTACGACTGCCCACACTCACGGCCGCCTCGAGGATCTGGCCCAGGCTCTGCAGGGGCAGAGGAGAGACAGTCAGCCCTCCACCGTGGACTGGCTGAGGCCAAGCGGAACCTCCCCACCCCAGGCGTAGGCCGAGTGGAGCCCCACCTCCATCTCTAGGACTCAGAGGGGAGTGGAAGGCCAGAGAAAGAGAGGGGCCCTAGGCCAGAAATAGGGGCAAGAGTCCAGGTGCTGAGGTCCCAGCTAGGCATCCTGTCCAGCGCAGATGGGAGCAGATCTGGGCCACCCCCAGGGATGTCTGAGCAAGGAAGGCCTGCCCCCTAAAACCCACCTCTGCACCTCACAGGACTCAGACTGCCCCGGGGGCCCAGCCAGAGAAGCCCAGCACGGGACCGCCTGCCAGCCATACGCACCTTAGACACGTGGGAGGCCTCTGCGTGCTTCCTGTAGAGTGCTAGAACCCCGGGGAGGAGCCTGGGCAGCTGCTCTTCCAGCCTCTCACTGGGCAGCAGGTGGCTCATGGGGCCCAGGGCCTCCACCACAGCCAGCCGGAGCTGAGGGGCAGGAGGACTTGTGCTCACAGCCACCAAGCGCCAGGGCTGCTGTGCGGATGCCAGCTGGCCAAGGGTCCTGAGGGCTGTGGGGCAAGCCTGGCCAAGCCACTGGGGGGTAGACCACAGGCAGAGTCCGAGGCTGGGCGGGGTTGGCCAAGCCGAGACGCCCAAGGAGCTGCCTGGTGTCAGTCGCTGGGGGCCCAGGAGAGGCCCTGCCTGCACCGCTGCTCCCATCACGAGGCCACCATCTCCTGGCAGTCAGCTGTGGAGCTGACCGCCAGGCACAGGTGCAGACAGGCCGCTCCTCCCACCTGGGGTGGCATGGGTTCAGAGCCCTAGGACGGTGTGGGCCAGGCAGGGCAGGGCGGAGCAGGGCACGCAGCCTGCAGGGCCAGGCTCCAGGGCACGTGGGCAGCCACGCCCATACCTTGGCTTCTCGGCTCTGCAGCCAGCTGGGAAAGAGAAGGTCGTAGGCGCAGAAGATGTCAGAGGCAAAGGTGTCCTTCCTGACTGTGGGGTCTGGGGCTTGGTCCAGGTTGGCCAGGTACTCCAGGGCACTCTCACTGAAGCGCTGGAAGGCTGCAATGGCGTGGAGCGAGGGGCTATGGCACCATGGGCAACCCCGTTTGGCACTTGCACCCCTTCTGGAAGTCCTGTGACGACTGGCCCTGCAGCGCAGCACCAGGTTGTGCCAGGGTGTACAGCACCTGCAAACCCGCGTCCTGCCCAGATCTCAGAGCATGGCCACATTGGAGAGTCTCTGCCCCGGAGCTGCTCAAAGCGGTCACAGCAAGGGGGCCGGGGCTTGCCCACTGCACTGGCATCCGCGGAAGGAGAAGGCCCTGCTGTGGGTGCAGCTGTGGAGCTGGTACCCTGCAGCAGGCGGGGGCAGATCTCTGGGCCGCCCAGAGCACACCAGGCACACCGTGTGCACTCAGGACCCTGGCTGGCAGGGACACCTGCTGAGGGTGCCTGTCCCTCTCGCTCATCAGAGAAGTACACTTAAAAAATGATAGACTTTTTTAAATGAAAAAGGAAAGACCTAGATGGGGGGGGGGGGGCAATGCGCTGAGGAAGCAGGCCCAGAGTGCCTGGAGGGACGCCCAAGACCAACGGCAGGCTGGGGAGAGCCCTCCCTGAGCCCTGGCCTCGCAGACCCCTGAGAACGGGCACCTAGTGGAGCACATTATACAAGAGCCAGGACTGTGCCAGGGCTGGCCTCCCCGAGGCACTGCGCTCCAGCGCCGGCCTGAGTCTGTGCCAGCCGGAGCCTGGGGCCGCACAGGAGCCAACAGGGGCCAGGGCCATGGCACTGGGGAAGCCACCAAGCTTTGGGGCCAGCACCCAGGTCTTCCTCTGGGGAGTGTGCGGCCCACATACCTGACCACCTGGACTTTGAGTAGCCAAGGACCTCAGGAGGAGGGGTCTGGGACACACTGGCTGTGGGCCTGGAACCCAAGAAAGGGCGGCACCGTGCGGCCCACATACCTGACCACCTGGACTTTGAGTAGCCAAGGACCTCAGGAGGAGGGGTCTGGGACACACTGGCTGTGGGCCTGGAACCCAAGACGGGCCGGCAAAGGGCATGCTCCAGTCCCTGTGTCATCAGCTCCATGCCCCAGTCTGGGCGATTTGGGACAGGGCTGGTTCTGCCGAGACCATGGGTCAGCCTCGGGATAGCACGTGGGCAGAAACGCACTGAGACTTGACCCTGAGCCAGCGTCCAACACCATGGTCAGGTAAGCCTACCTGTCACCTGTGATGCCCTGAGTCCCAGCTCATGGACGGGGACACTCAGTGCACAGCAGGTGGGGCTGGAGCACTCAGCCCAGGCTGGGCCTGCGCCCAGGCGGCGGAGCGGAGGCTGGGAGCTGTCAGAGCTAAGGTCACCAAGGAGGAGAAGACGGACAGAAAGCCCACGGATAGCAGGAGGCAGCCACGGCCCACACTTGGGGCAGGCCCAGGCCCTCGGGTGAAGACGGAGACCTGCTAGAGGGGTCATGGCAGGCTCACGGGGGGTCGACCAGTGCGGGCTCTCCTTCAGCTCTATCTGGCAGGGCCTGCTGGCGTGGAGCCCCGTTCCAACCCCAGCCTGACACTGACCGGCCCGCTCCAGCACGGGGTCCGCGTGCTCTGAGCCCCACGGCCAGGACCGGTGGGCTGTGCACCCTTGGCCCCTGCTCTGTGCCCCGACACCCTCCTCAGCCTCCTGCCTACCAGATGGGCATGGGCGGCATGAACCGCGGCAGCTCCCTGCGCACCGTCCACCCTGCGAGGCTGCGGCTTGGCTGAACCGGAGCCACAGAACTGCGTGGACATGGTCCTGGGGCCAGCAAGGGCTGTGAAGCCGACCGCGAAGGCGACCGCGCAGCACCGCCTGCAGAACTCAGCCAGCCTAGCAAGCCGCAGTGGCCGGGGTGTCGCTGTTTTTCTGGCTGGAGGGCATGTGCACTCAATCAGAGACAGAGATGGAGTAGTGAGGAGCTGCCCCAGGGCACAGACATGCCACAGTCCCTTCTGTATTCCCTCGGGATGTGGGGCACACGCACACAAGCACCCGGCATGTGTCCAGGATGCGAACCGCAGAGTTGGCCCTGAGAGACCCAGCCGCCTTAACCACCATGCCACCTGGCTGGCCCTGGTCCTGACATCTAACCCGAGTTCTGCACACAGGTTAAAAGAGCAGTTCTCCTTTGCCCTCCTGTCCTCACCTTATGGCCACGTTTGGAAGCGACCACCACGGGGAGCCCCCCTCTCTGCACTGCTTGCCACACCCAAGACTCACCCTGGAGCTGGCAGGCTCTCCTGGGCACAGCTCCACCCTCCCCAGCTCGGTGGTTCCCTCACTGTCTGCCCGGTGTGTCACCACTGCAGCTCCAACCTCCACCCACAGCAAGGCCTCCCCTGCCACGTAGGGCCCACTGTGCCCTGGGTGTCTGCCCGCCACCCCACGTGTCCATGGAGAACACCCTCCCATCCCTGCGGGAGCCTTCGTTCTACCCTCACTCTCAGGAGCTACGGGCTGGGTGCACATCCCACAGACACCCCGCTCGAGGCCCTGGGCATCCTCCGCCAAGCTGACAGTCCCTCGCCCAGCTCTCAGACCAGTGTGCTAGAGGGGCTCGGCGTCCTCTCAGTCTGGAACCAGCAGGTCTCCGAGCTACCGCACACCCCACCCAGCCCTCCCGTCGTCGCTCCTAGGGCACCTGTGTCTGCAGCTCTGGCCGCACCATCTGCCCGCTCGCTCTTCCTGCTCTTTCTCCACGTTCCAGATTTGGGCGTTTTCGCTCTATTTTCTGGAGGGCTTCGCCAACCCTCTCCCCCAGTCCGAGATGGTCTCCGCTCT